GAGATCACTGTCAGGTAGGTGAGGCCCTGCCAGCCGCGGAGGGGCTGGGGGTGCAGGGCTACCAGCACCCCTTCTTCCTCGGGTCCTGCCTCTTCTCTGTCCCTGCTGGACGGAGCTTTGCTGAGATGCCTGAGCGTGGCTGCTCTTCCTCTGCTGCCAAGGCAGTTGCCCTGCCCACCTTCCTACAGAGATGCTGGGAGGGCTGGAGCCCCTCTGCTGGGAGGAGGGATTGAGAGAGTTGGGGGGGTCAATCTGGAGAAGAGAAGGCTCCGGGGAGACCTTGGAGCCCCTTCCAGTCCCTAAAGAAGGGGGGCGAAAAGACCAAGCACTTACTGGTGTCCAGCATGTGTGGTGGGTTCTCTGGAGCCTTCCTTTGGTCAGGGGCTGCGTCCCACTCCGAGGAGGTCCAGCCTGGCGGCTCTGCGTGTGCTGTGTGGCTCTGATCACCACTTCTCTGTTGCAGGGCAGCTCTGGCCTCTGCCCACCAAGGGCAGCCCCTGCCGAAGACGCTGAGTGTCCTGGAGAACACGCCGCAGGTGCGGGGCATGCACACCATCATCAGGTAGGTGCCTGCTCCCCCGGCAGGGAACAGCACTGTGCCTGGCCACCAGCTGGGCTGAGCTCCTCTCACCACCGCTCTCTGGGCACGGCCTCCGGACGGTTTTTCTCCCAGCCCAGTTTCTCCAGGAGAACGCTGTGGGAAGTGGTGTCAAAGGCCTTCCTGAAGTCTAGGTAGACAACATCCACAGCCTTTCCCTTGTCCACCATCAGGTCACCTTGCCATAGGAGATCAGGGTTGTCAGGCAGGACCTGCCTTTCATAAACCCGTGCTGATGGGGTCTGATGGCCTGGTTGTCCTTGTGATGGCACTGAGGATGAGTAGACAACATCCACAGCCTTTCCCTTGTCCACCATCAGGTCACCTTGCCATAGGAGATCAGGGTTGTCAGGCAGGACCTGCCTTTCATAAACCCGTGCTGACGGGGTCTGATGGCCTGGTTGTCCTTGTGACAGCACTGAGGATGGGGAACAGCACTGTGCCTGGCCACCAGCTGGGCTGAGCTCCTCTCACCACCGCTCTCTGGGCACGGCCTCCGGACGGTTTTTCTCCCAGCCCAGTTTCTCCAGGAGAACGCTGTGGGAAGTGGTGTCAAAGGCCTTCCTGAAGTCTAGGTAGACAACATCCACAGCCTTTCCCTTGTCCACCATCAGGTCACCTTGCCATAGGAGATCAGGGTTGTCAGGCAGGACCTGCCTTTCATAAACCCGTGCTGATGGGGTCTGATGGCCTGGTTGTCCTTGTGATGGCACTGAGGATGATCTGCTCCGTAACTTTCCCTGGCACCGAGGTCAGACTGACACCCCTGTCGTTCCCAGGATCCTTCTTGTGGATGGGTGTCACATTTGCTAACCTCTAGTCAACTGGGACCTCCCTGGTGACCCAGGAGCACTGGTAAATGGTGGAAGGCGGCTCGGCGAGCACTTCCACCAGCTCCCTCCATGTGTTGGGTTGGAGAATGTGACCTTGTGAGCAGGCTGTGCAACCTTTTGTAGGAAGCGAGATGTTCCTTCTCCAGGAACATCTCCTGTGACTCCTCCCCAGCGAAGTGCAGGCTCCGAGGGGATTCCACAGCAGTAAAAAGCCAGAGGATGTGTCTCACCAGGTGGTGTGGCACCTTACGTGCGCTGGCAGAGCCCTGTGCCGCTGTCTGAAGCCCACCTACCTCACCTCTGAGCTGTGGACTGCAGTAGTTCTGGGTTCAGGTCCAGCTACAGGAACTTCAGAGCAGATAGAGCCGTGTCCCTGCGGCATCTCTCTGCTCCAGTGCTCTGGCGGTGCCTTCGTCATGGCCTGAGCCGATTTCTCCGGCTCATCCGCGGCCTGTGCGGCCGGAGGTGGATGGAGGTGGAAGGGAGATCTGGGGGAAGGGCACCTCCAGAGGCTGAGTGGTGTTTGCCCACACAGGAGCGGTGTTCCCAGCCCGGGGTCAGGCAGGGAGAGAAGAATGAGAGTCTTTGTGCCCTGTCCCTGGCACGGACCTTCTACCTACAGCTCCTCCCGCGACGAGGGAGGGGTTTGACCAGCCCCTGTCCCTGGGGGAACACACTGCGGTCGGCACCGAATCCTCACTGCTCTGGAGCTGCCCTTCCCCTCTTCCTCCTCGCAGTCTGTGTCCTTTTGCTGTGCTGGGGACGGCCCCTCGTGCCTCCGCCCTTATGCCACAAGCCTCTAATCGCCTTAATCTGCTTACACTTGGGAGTTTGTTCGTTAGCCCCGGGGAGGGGGTCAGGCCCATGCAGGCAGTGGCTGGAGCTGGGCTCCAGGCCCCGTCGTGGCGCTGGGCTCGGGGCCGGCCGGGCCGCGGGAGGGTGGACTTTGCCTCCTCCAGATGGTAAATGAAAAATAACCACATTTAGGAGGGGCGTTGACTTGGCCTGTCAGCCACCCCCTCACATCCCGCGGCGGGCTGAGGCGGTGCCGTTACTGACATCTCCCAGCTGAGGAGTTGTTCTGGTAAAAAAAAAGTTCCTGTGTTTGGTGACAGCGAGGCAGCTTGTATTTCTGGTGCCTGTAGGTGATACTTGGCAGCGCTCACTTGCTTCTGCGTGACTTCGGGGCGGTGTGGGACTGCTAGTGGTCCTCACGCCTGCTCCTCTGGGCTTCCCTCTGCTCCAGGGGCGCCGCTCCCTGCCTGCTGATGCTCCCTGGGCACGTCCAGGCTGGCGGGGGATAAAATGTACACCTTTTGCCAACGTTCCTGCACCTGCTTGTGTGAAGTTACAGTGTCTTGGCAGAGTGACCTGTCATCCCTGTTCCGTCTGCCGCGGTGGCGTCAGCCCCTCTTGGCGGTGGCAGCCCTCCTGGCCTGCTGGTGCTCCCACTGGTACCATCTTCTGGAGTCCCTCGGCACGGCAAACCCCACATCTGTGGGCACACCACGGAGCTGTGACCCAGGATTCCCCTCCTGCCTTTCCCAGAGCAGCTCCCTCGGGGGCAGACGTGCCGGGCTCCTGCCCTTTCCCTGTTGTTCAACACTGGGGGCTCCTCCGTGCTCCAGCGTCTGTCTCCGAGGGACCTCCTGGAAGCTGACGTTGTGGCAGCAGATGAGCATCTCGCTGAGCACAGTCATGGCAAATTCAGGCTTGGCACCGCGGGCAGAAGCGGCTTCCAGAGGGATTTTCTGTTCTTGTGGAGAAGCGGAAACTCAAAAATAGTCCTGCACTGGAGCGGCTGAGTGATTTTGCTCATGGTCAGGCTGAGGATGGACGGTGCAGAAAGGGCATGGGTTGTATCCTCCAGCTTACAGGAGGCTTTGGTGTCGGGGCCAGGTCACCAGAGCCAGTAGAAGCGTTTTATGCCACACGTGGGGTTTCCGCAGTGCCTGAATGGTCCTTTCTGTCCCCCACGATACCGGCTTCTGCCCCCCCATCGCTTATTGCAGGAGGAGAAGGGGTGCAGGGGTCTGTTGTTAGCGTTGAGATAACCAGGGTATGGGGGTGTTTCCTCTATCACCCCCATAAGTGTCACAGCTTACGCTGGGGGTCCCCGCTGCCGGCCATGCCCTGGTGCGTGTCGGCAGAGCGGGTCCACTCTGTGGCATCGGTGGGACCTGGTCCTGGAGTGGCAGAGAGGAGGAGACTGGCCTTCCCCAGCATGGAGGTGGACATCTGGCTGCCGTTGGAATTGCTTTGAATTCCATGGGGAATGTGGGACCGAGCCTGCTGTGTCTGCAGAGCCCTGCCCTGCTCCCACTGCCATGGAAGCACCTCGTGTGCTCTCTGCTGCAGGAGAAGAGCCATTCTTCACCTCTGCTCCCCTCTTGGTGCCCACACACTCGTGGGAAGGCTCTGGGATGTCCCCTGGGTCACCTACCTCTCTGAGCAGGTTTGCTTTGGTGTGAGCCTCTGGACTTTGTGCCCTGGCAGGACGCACCGTCCCACCCTGGGGCTGCCCTTGAGAAGCCTGGGGCTGGTGGAGCTTCAGCGAGGGCAGAGCGAGGTGCTCCCTGCCTGCGGGGAAGGAGCCAGCGCCAGGGAAGGTGGCTCACACAAGAAACCTGTCCCCCTGGCCCTCTGCTGAGGGGGGGGCAGTGCTTCACTGGTGGTCATTTGTCCGCTCAGTGAGAAGTCTCTCTGTTGTCCTCACCCCTGCATGAAAAGAAAGTCAATGCTCAGGCTTTTGTGGCCCACAGGGAGGGACCTGGGAGTTCTGGTGGATACCAGGTTGCCCATGGGCCAGCAATGTGCACTTGTGGCCAAGAAGGCCAATGGTCTGCTGAGGGGCATCAAGAAGAGGGTGGCCAGCAGGTGGAGAGAGGTCATCCTTCCCCCTCTGCTCTGCCCTGGGGAGGCCCCATCTGGAGCACTGGGACCAGTTCTGGGCTCCCCAGATCCAGAAGGACAGGGAACTGCTGGAGAGAGTCCAGCGGAGGCTTCTGAAGCTGCGGTGGGTGGTTGCGTGGGTGAAGCCCACCCGTGGGGGAGGCGCACGTACTGACAGCCCACGCTGGAGGCAGCAACGCTTGTCCCTCCTGGACCAGAACTGATTTTTCGACCGTCTCTGGGCCTCCCCCGCTGTCCCCAGGCTGGTTGGAGATGTCCACGTCAGCCGGGTGCTCTGGTCCCTGCGGAGCACTCGGGGGCAAGGTCTGGCTGCAAAAACACCTCGGGACAGTAGGGACTGTTTATCCTTCTCCTGGGCGCTGTTGACTGTCTGTCATCGTGAGATGCGAGCAGCGGCAGATGATGTCCTAAAATACAGAGTAAAAATACTCAATATCCTTCTGCCTCTTCTGGAGTGGTGCCAGTTCCACCCCTTCCATCTGGTAGCTGGCGAGTGTCTGCGGGGTCCCTTTGTTCCTGGCGTTCTCCAGAGAATAGGGGGGTGCACGCAGGAGAACACCCATTTCAGCCACGGCTTGTCAACCGTGGTCCCCCGGTGTCTGCTGGCCTCTGTGGTGGGGACCAGGAGCTTGTTCTTGGTGGTTCTCCAGGAAAATGGCACTTACATTACAACCTTGTGCTCCAGACCCCTCACCAGCCTCATGGTCCTTCTCTGGACATGCTCCAGACCCTCAGTGTCCCTCCCGTTGTGAGGGGCCCAAAACTGAACACAATGGTCCAGGTGTGGCCTCACCAGTGCTGAGAGCAGCCATGGAGTGTGAGGAGAATAACAGGACACTGGGGGATTCTTTATGGTCACCTTTTGGACGACCAGGAAGTCTGAGAGTCCCCTCCTGGCAGCAGTTTCAGGAGCTGGTGTCAAACGCTCCCCATGAGAACAGGCAGCCCCTGGGACCAGCTCCCGGCACCTACAGTTGGCTCCACTCCCCCTGAGGGAGAAGGGTTGTTTTCCATGAATTACAACCCCTGTTGTGGTTTTATTCTGTTTATTTTGCTTCCTGCTGCCCTCAGCACTTCAGCGTGGTGATGAGATAACGCCAGGTATTTCAAAGTCTGCCTGGTTCCTGGCAGCTCCTCGCCAGCGCCGAGCTGTCCCCTGTGTCCCCGGGGACCCAGCAGCGCTGCGGGGGCTCCTGTCACTTCCTTCCCCCCTGCGCCATGTGCTGCAGCCTGCTGTCCCCCTCCCAGGGGCTGAACGCCCTTCTGCTCCATGTGGTCCTTTCTGGACAAGGCCCTAGGTCTCAGCAAGCCCTGGCAGGGTGGTGGGTGGAAACCATCTCCTCCCCAAGGGATTCCAGGTTCCCACTCTCTGTTCCTTCCTCTGGAGCCCCGTTTGCTCCAGGAACTCCACTCTCATCTCACACCCGTCTCCTCCCTCAACAGGAACAAGGACACGACCAGGGATGAATTCATCTTCTACTCCAAGCGCCTCATGAGGCTGTTGATCGAACATGCCCTCTCCTTCCTGCCGCTGAAGGTGAGCCCACCGCTCCTCTGCTGTGGCCACGGCCACCTCTCCCCCTCCCCGAGCCCCCCGGGCTTCCCCTACACTCCCTTCTCCTCCCCTTTCTGCAGTCAGTCACGGTGGAGACCCCCCAGGGGACAACCTACGAAGGAAAGCGGTTCCACAGGCAGCGGGTGAGATGTTCTCCTGGTCCCTTTCTCCCCACAAGCACGGGCTGAGAAAACCTGCCGGCCCCGGGGTCCCTCCCTGTGCAGACGAGCTGCTCCCTGGGGCTTGTCCCCCCTCCTGCAGTGAGGGACCCTCGGGAGCTCACCGGGGGGGCTGCAAACCCAGCAAACCTTGTGTCCCCTTCCCCAGATCACGGGGGTGTCCATCCTGCGGGCAGGGGAGACCATGGAGCAGGCCCTCACTGCGGTCTGCAAGGACATCCGCCTGGGCAAGATCCTCATCCAGACCAACCACGACACGGGGGAGCCCGAGGTGAGCAGCTGAGACCCCCAGCACCGTGGGATGGGGCCCCCCTCCCCTTCCCTGGAGCCCCCCTGCACCGCAGGATGGTGACCCCCCCCCTTGCCTCCCCAGCTCCACTACCTGCGCCTTCCCAAGGAGATCAGCGAGGACTACGTCATCCTCATGGACAGCACCGTCTCCACCGGAGCTGCCGCCATGATGGCCGTGCGGGTGCTGCTGGTGAGGGCCGGGGGGGTGGTGGTTGGGGGGGCTGGGGGTACCGACCCCCCCATGGCCGGCCGGGGTCTCAGGGGGGTGTGTTGCCGCAGGACCACGACGTGCAGGAGGACAGGATCTTCCTGCTGTCGCTGCTGATGGCCGAGATGGGGGTGCACTCGGTGGCCTACGCCTTTCCCCGCGTCCGCATCATCACCACCGCCGTGGACAAGAGGGTCAACGAGGAGTTCCACATCATCCCCGGCATCGGTAGGGGGGGGGCTGTGCCCCACGGACCCCCCAGACCCCCTCTGGCTGACCCACAGCCGCGCTGAGGCACCCCTGGCAGGGGGGGGAGTCGCGGCGGGGCCGTCATGGCCATCGCCTCACCCTGTCCCCTTGTCCTTCAGGGAACTTCGGGGACAGATACTTCGGCACCGACGGCCCCTCCGCCTGGTGTGAGAGCGACGGCACGGACTGCTGAGCCGCCGGGCCACCGGGCCACCAGCCAGGCTGGCCACGGGGCCGGACCCCCACCTCCGCCCCCAGGAGGGGCTCCGAGCTGCCAGCCTCTGCTCCCCTCCCTGCAGGATGAGCCCCCCACTGCCAGCCTGTCCCCCCAAGCAGGACAAGAGCCCCTCGTGGGTCCATCTTCCCCGAGGAGGAGGGAGGCAGGGAGTGATGGCATCTCATGCGGCCTGGGGGGGACACAAGGGGGGTTCCTCCCCTTGGAGCCCCCCTGTGCACTCCAGGCCAGCTGCGGCCCAGGGGGACGGTCACCCCCTTCCCTGGGGAGGGGGGGGACAGGGTCCCATCCCCTCCAGGCTTCCTCCGGGTGCTGGGCAGGCTCCGTGCTGGAATCTGTATTTATTTGTATTTATTTTACGGAGCTGCCCCCCCGGCTCTCCTGCGGGGCAGGCCAGCTACTTGAAAACCATCAGGGATTGGGGATGTCCCCAAGGAACCACCATCCCCCCCCCAATTCCACACTCCATCCCCGGCTGGGCCCCGGCAGCACTGGGAGGGTGGGGGCTGCCTTTGCCCCCCACTTCAGCTGGGGGGATTTGACATTCAAACACTCCCCTGCCCCCCCTCCCAGCCCGGGGCAGCCGGGGGTCCATCCCAGGGGGTCCATCCCTGGGGGACCATCCTGACCCCCCCGGGAGCCAGGGTCTGCCCAGCCCCTGCTGCCCTCCTTGCTCAGGTTCTTGGCCCCCCCGAGGCAGCGGGGGTGGCTGCTGGGGGCGCAGCCGCCCCCCCTTCCATGGCTGAAGAGGCTCCGCTGCCCCCCAGCCCCGGGGCTGCCCCCCCGCTGCCCCCAGCGCCTTCGTTTTGTACCCCAATAAAGGAGCAGCACGACCCCCCCGCATGCTGCCTGGGATGGGGGGTGACAGCCGCGGGGGGGGCGATGGGGGTGTCACTGCACGTGTGGGGGTGT